GGTTCTAGTCATCATAACCCAATAGATGACACTGTCTATTGCTAAGTGATCATCCTTTCCCCCCCATTTCTATGTGCAGGGCTGCTCTCTAGTGGAATCTGAATGAATGTTAATTGAGGATAACAGGCTATGGCATAGAACTCCTCTAGCTACATAGTGAACTGTATGAAGATTAGTCTGTCTAAGCTTCAGTCTTAGCAAGCGTCTAGCAGCCTCTAGTACCACTGGCAGCTGTACTTTCCAGTGGGGGAGACCTTAGTGCCCGAGAAGGAAATCTCTCCACATGGGATTATGCCGAGTTGTCTCTTGTTTCATGGAACTGTCTCCAGAAGGTTCTACATCCTTGGCCATTTAAGAAACTGTCTGATGGGTCTGCCCATTGAACACATCCCTCTCCCATTGTGAGTTTATAGGCAACCACTTTCAAAAATTTTGCCAAACACATATATCAACTTTGTTGCTATTTACTTAATATTTTCCTCTCTTACTGGTCTTAGAAAGCACATTTTCCTTTACCTGGGAAGGACAGCACAGTTATCCCAAGGTCAGAGGGCTCTAGACCCAAAACTGTAATTTAGATAAACCCAGGCTACCCAAGGGCTCTAGACCCAAAACTGTAATTTAGATAACATTCTTAATTCTGCTTCTGTAAACTGCTTTTTTGCGAACCAGGTTCCTCATTCCAAACCCTGGGAGGTAATCAATACCTTTGTGATTTTTTGCCTATATAACCTTGGAGCTGCGACCATCTTGTTACTATGAGATTTGGGAAAGCAAAATGGCCCCTCATAGTCCCGGATTGCAATAAATGTGACTCTTTAATTCGAAAAAAACTATATATATATTCCTCTTAAACATCTCACTCAAAAATATTAAATAGCACTTGACTAACTCTAAGCATTTACATCTATGAAATGTCAGGCTAACTATGTTTGTGAAATTTTTTTCCTAATACGTATTAAAACCAAAACGTAACTTAATGTAAAAAAAAAATGCTTAGTCCTGCACCACCCACGTTCGTCTGGTCCATCAGCAGTGGCCCACATGCCACACCCTGGGAAACACCACCAAAGGAATTTATGAAAATTGAAACGGAAATGCAGACGCTTCCCATGTGTCCCAGGTATTCAGGTCCAGGGTAGGAGGAAGGAGAACGTAAGCTGCCATGTTTCTGACCTAAAAGCATCGTCAGAAAAAATGAACAAGGGTGTATGATTTCCACCTGTGAAACCTCTCAAGAGACCAGTCATCACAGTGGTGGGCTGCCCAGGGCTGTCTGTGCGGATGACCGGCCACACAGGAAGGCCTTTTGTGGAGAAATGGAGGAGGGTGAATGGACTTAGGCTGAGCTTTCAAGAAGAGAGAACATGTAGGAAAACCTCAAAGAAAGGAAGACATGGCATTTTCAAAGATCAGTAAGAAATGGGACAGGCTGTGTGGTTCACACATCATAAGAGGAGGGGGTGCGTTTGGAGGCACACGGGCTATATGGGGCTCCTGTTATATCTTGGGGGAAAAACTGGAATCTGTAAAGCATGTTAAGCAGGTGGGTGATCCAATTAGATCAATTAGATTTTCATACTCGAAAGGACTTTCCTGCTGTAGTTGGAAGAAGAGATTGGGAAAGAGGAAGAAGTTTAGATAGAGGCTGTTTCCCTGGTCTCAGGAGAGATGAGGCCAGGTTGGACTGGGGGTGGGTGAGGGCAAAGCAAAGATGGAGACAAGTGAATGAATGCCAGGTACTTTGTATTTGGAAGATATAACGTATAGAACATGGATTGACCATGATGTGCAAGGAGAGACAAGACCAAGAAAAGGTCCCGGGTCTGGCTTTAGCAGGGGGTGGATGGAGGGTCCATTCACTGAGCCCAGAAGCTTAGGGAGGAGCAGTTTTGCAGAGACTGATCAGATGTGGTGTTTGCAGTCCTGTGTATCAGGAAACAGAACTCATAAAGCTCGAGGGATTCTGTAGATTGCGTTCATAGAGCTTTTTTGATCCCCAAAGACTTTCCTTCCTGGATGTTTTATCCCATTTAATTTAGTGTCTGTGAAATATCAATAGAAGCTGGTCCGTGGCCGATGCTGTCCTTGTATTGTTTATAGATGCCAGAGCCTCTGATGACTTAGCTCTTCAGTTCTCAATCCGAGGGACCAGATATCGACATCTTCATGCCTTAGGAGAAAAACCCTGTCCTATTTCCCTGTAAATGTTTTGTTCATTTGTTCAAAGTGTGTGCATATAATAGTTTACCTCATAGAATTATTCGTTGGCCTAATGTAGTCTCCTCTTTTAATACTGATTCAGCCTTTCTCTACTACCCATCAAGCCACAGATCTGTACTGGAGACTGCTGTGCAGGGCAGTCAGCCTGCTCACGTACTGGCAGATGTGTAAGCCAGCCCAAGTCACCGAGGCTAAAGCTGCAAACGCTCCCTGAATTGTTGTGGAAAGATGTTTATGATATGTTGTTGTTAAGTGAAAAATGAGGTTATAAAACCATATGTAGATTTCCAGTTCTAATAGGAGGGTGGGATGAACTAATGTGACCCTTCTTTGTACTAGTAACACATAAAAATACTAACAAAATATAAGGTTTAATATAAGAAAGAGAAAATATTTGCAAGTCATAAAACTGATAAGGGACTTGTGTCCAGAATACATTTAAAGAACTCCTCCAAAACAACAATAAAAAGATGAATAAGCTACTTTTAAAATGGGCAAAAGATGTGAATAGATTTTTCTTCAGAGAAGATGTGCAGATGGCCAATAAGGATATGAAAAGATGCTCAGCATTATTCGTCATTAGGGAAATGCAAATCAGTCCCACAATGAGATAACACCTCATCCTCCCTGGGATGGCTATCGTAGAAAAGGCAAACAATAGCAAGTATTGGTGAGGAGGTGGAGAAATTGGAACCCTCAGATATCGCTGATGGGGATGTAAAAATGGTACAGCCATTTGGAAAACAGTCTGGCAGTTTTTTAAAAATGTAAACATAGCATTACCACCTGACCCAGTGACTTTACCCCTGGAATTTAAAAGCTATATCCACACAAAAACTTATACATGAGTGTTCATAGCAGCATTATTTGTAATAGCCAAATAAGGAACCACCCAGATGTCCATCAGCTGACGAATGGACAAATGACATAGGGTATGTTAGTGGAATATTATTTGGCAGGAAAAAGGAATGAAGTGCTGATACATGCTACTGCATGGATGAGCTTTGAACACATGCAAAGAAAGAAGCCAGACACAGCAGGCCACATGTTGTGTGGTTCCATTTATGTAGTACATGTCCAGAATAAGCAAAGTCATAGGACCAGAAAGGAGTTGGTGGTTGGCAGGGACTGAGGGGGCGGGCAATGGGGAGTGACTGCATAATGTGGGCTTTCTTCTGGGGTTGATGAAAATGTTCTGGAATCAGGCAGGGGTGGTGCCTAGCACAACTTTGTGAATATACTAAAACCCACTGAACTGTACAATTGAAAGGGTAAAGTTTATGGTATGTGGATTATATCTCAATTTTTTAAAAGTTGGCAGGAAAGGTAAGAAAGGGAAATTCCCTGGGGGTAGAAGTGAAGAGGGAACTTTTAAAAAATATACTTTTATTGATTTCAGAGAGGAAGAGAGAGGGAGAGATAGAAACATCAGTGATGAGAATCATTGATCGGTAGCCCACAACCCTGGGCATGTGCCCTGAACGGGAGTTTTATTGGTTTCAGAGAGGAAGAGAGAGGGAGAGATAAAACATCAGTGATGAGAATCATTGATCGGTAACCTACAACCTGGGCATGTGCCCTGACCGGGAATCGAACCATGACCTCCTGGTTCATAGATTGACGCTCAACCTCTGAGCCATGCCGGCTGGGCATGAATTTAAAACCAGAGGGATCAGTCTGGTCAGATGGGGAACGCCAGGGCCACGGGCTCTGCGGGCTTGCGGCTGCGGCGTTCATTTCAGCATGGGGCAAGAGAGGTGGCCTGGAGCCTTCGGGGGAGGAGCAGCTGAAAGTGAGATACTGCATAAAGCTTGGAATAAAACACGCAGGCTCAAATAAGCAACATTTAGAAAGAAAAGGGGGACAAAAATACAAATAATTACTAATACAGCCAAGGTCTTAAAGTCAAAAGAAACATGTGAACCACTTTATGCCAACACACTTGAAAATCTAAACAAAAAAAGACAATTTTCTAGGCTTCAAAATTAAAACAGTATGTATAATATCATCTCCTATGAGGGCGGAGGAGAAGGGGGTGGAGAGAGAGGGAGAGAGAGGAGAGAGAGAGGAGATACATAAATAGTTCAGAGTAGTAGAATACAGGTAATTCTAACATTTCCCCTTTTGCTTACCTGCCCCATGCCTAATATGTCAGGCAAGGGTAACTCCTACGTACACAGCCTCTGTTTACCATTTAGGTCATGGATTTCGAGAGTTTTCTTTTGGTCAGAGGCCCCGAAGAAGAGGGTTGTCTTTTAGGCGACTCTGAATCACCACTGCTTAGGATTTGTTCACTCACGTTGATTTGAAAGCTTTTAAGATCCCTGGGTGCTTCCGTTTCCAGGGTTGCTAAATAGGGCCAGCACCGCATCGATCATATTCCCAGCAGGGCTGTTGGGAGGATTAATGTTTTAATACAGTAACATAACAACACGATCTCCTGCTCCTTTAAAAAGGTGTTAATTAAGTTCCAGGTTTTCTTTTTTGGGGTTGTACTTAGTTTTATGGTGATAATACGTATCTCAGTCTAGTGTCTGAAAGGTAAGCAGCAGGGCGTTCATGCTTTCTCACAGAAAATGTGACGGACAGAAGCACCCCACGCTAATCCATCATTGGGGTTCCCCTCTGGCTATCATGGGAAGCAAGTGTGAGTTTTATTGTGGTGCGGGAAGGGCCTCCATGTGGCTCGGTCTGTGGACTGGACGGGCCGGGGTAAGGATGCTCTGGGGAGAGAGCCCCCTGACCTGGTCCTCTCCTTCCTTGTCTGCCCATCCCAGCGAGATGAAGCAGAAGCTGGACGAGGAGGGCAGCAAGTGCAGCATCCTCTCCAAGCACCAGAAGTTCGTGGAGCACTGCTGCATGCGCTGCTGCTCGCCCTTCACCTTCCTCGTCAACACCAAGCGCCGCTGTGGGGACTGCGCGTTCAACGTCTGCAAGAGCTGCTGCTCCTACCAGAAGCACGAGAAGGTCTGGATCTGCTGCGTCTGCCAACAAGCCAGGTGAGTGGCCGAGTGGACCCCCGGGGCCTCGTCTGGCACCACCCATCTTCCTTCAACCAGGTAGGATGAGCAGCGATGGATCAGCACACAGTACTGAGTGCAGTAGATTACCCAGGTGAGGGGCTGTTAAGGATACTGCGTGAGCATCGCAGAGGGGACCACATTTCTCAACTTTCATTCATTCATTCATCATTCATTCATTCATTCATTCATTCATTCATTCATTCATTCATTCATTCATTCATTCATTCATTCATTCATTCATTCATTCATTCATTCATTCATTCATTCATTCATTCATTCATTCATTCATTCATTCATTCATTCATTCATTCATTCATTCATTCATTCATTCATTCATTCATTCATTCATTCATTCATTCATTCATTCATTCATTCATTCATTCATTCATTCATTCATTCATTCATTCATTCATTCATTCATTCATTCATTCATTCATTCATTCATTCATTCATTCCACGAGTACGTGTGGGAGTCTTAGGAATGATGCTGGACACAGGAACCATGATGGTGAATGAGGCAGATGGCTTTTGGGCGGGGGGAGGGGAGAGTGGACGGATGAAATGCTAGAATGTTACAGTACTGCACCCAGCTGGTTGGGTGCATTCATTGTACACAGCACTTGGCTCAAAGGTCTATCATGGCACCACTGTGCTGCCCAATCCATGGTGGATGCCTCCAGGACAGAAACTGTCCGTCTTATTCAACTCCATGTGTAGCACCATACATAGCCTGGCATGTAAAAGGCACACACATCTTAAGGGCTGAGTAATAGACCAGGGCAGTGTTCAATAGTAGAAAAATACATGGTATGAAGGGGGTTTCAGGAATTTTAAAGGGAAAGGGATCTAGAGAGTGTTGGAGTGTCCTAAAGAGGTTTCATGGAAGAGGAGGGGACCCTGGGTGGAACTCGATAGGAGGAATCCCAGGGTATTGTTGGACAAGGGGTGACATGCGCACAGAGGACAGCTCCCCGAGGTGTGTGGCAGGCCTGGAACAGACTCTTGCAGAGGCATGTAGAGTTGTGAAGAATTTGGGTTTGTTCCTCAAGGGGTTATGAAATCCTTGAAAATAGCAGTTGAAAATCATTGGAATAGCAGTTTTTAAAATACGTTGTTCTTTACTGTCCTTCAATATATCCCCCCCACCCCCCCACCACACACACACACAAGGACATATTAGCACCTACATAATTTTGTTTCTTTTGGTTTTTCTCTGTTCCTCTTCTCTGTGGTTCAGAAAAATCTCCAAATTTACTAAGCAGTCAATAGCCGTGGAGCAATACAGTCACATCCTCTCCACCCCACATCTACCCTGAGCTGCATGAGTTTATTATCAGTTACAATTAAATGACACATTGCTGTCATGAAACAGCAGAATTGCTCAGTGACGAGTGCACGGCCTCGGGGGCACATCACTTACAAACGGGAGAGCATTGCCCCAGAAGCCAGCCCTCTGATGCCAGGCCTGTGCTACTTTATTTCTACAAGACCGTCTCAAGGAGGAGCCGAATATTGAAGAATAAGTTGTGAAAGGGCAGCACATGGCTCCTCAGGCCGCATTTTAAATGTCCATTTCACATTTCCACCACTTAATGAGGAGGCAGGAGGCTTAGGTAATCCTATGTAATAGTCCTGCATTGTTTCCGTGTAAACATTCCATGGCAGTTCCCCGAGTCTCGGAGGGAGGACATTGGGAAATAATGGACCACACATCGGAGGATACCTGGAAAGACATCCAAAAAAATGTACATTTGTTCCAGTTATTCTAAGAAAAGGGAGGGTCATTGAGGAGTTTTCCACATTCGGCGCGTCTGGCCTGGTTAGAACACACCCAAAGTGGCTTCATCAGAATTGGCAGAAAGAAGTTTCTGAGGAGAAGTTGGGAATTTTGCTGTTTTAATCCTGAATGCTGTCTTGTGGGGGCATCTCAGAAGTCTTGGGATTATTATTGTCTGAAATCCAAGGGGGACGGAAAAGTTGAGCTCGTTTCCGGTTTTTCTGTGTTATTCAAGTCCATCATCAGAACCTGTCCAGCAAAGAAATCCCTAGGACACATATGGCAGGTGTTTGCTTCTTGACATTTCTCTTGAAACTGATAGAGAAGAACGTCCAGGTCAGAGTACCTCAGTCTGACAGTCGTTTTGCATTTTGCAGGATGTCTCAGAGAAGTCTGTTTCATGTGTGTAGTAACAAGCTGCCCAACCCCCAGCATTGCACAAGCATTTAAGGCATGTTTTGACTTGAATCAAGTATGGAAATTTTCAGATAAGTAACTCTAAAAACTTGCACAGTTTTTTGAAACGGGAAAAAACCAACAACAACACAGTTTACAAGAGATTGTTTAGACTTTAAATACTGATCTTATGTAGTAAAAGCCGGTGTCATGCTGGGGGATAGGGCTATGGGGCACTCCATACCCCGTCCACTGTGTCCGTCAGCCTCTCTGCCCCTCCTGCAATCTGAAACTCGCTTCTTGGTTTAGAAGTGATTTACTTCAGGTTTCAGTCCTCGGGACATTCTCTCAGCATATTCATATTCAAGCAATTGGATTTAAAACATTGTATAAGTCAGATTCCACGAAGAACCCACTGTGTGCCGTGCGTGTGTGTGTGTGTGTGTGTGTGTGTGTGTGTGTGTGTGTGTGCGCGCAATCTCCGTGAAACCGTGGAGAGCGGCTCTGAGAAGGTGCAGAGATGACCACTTTTGTGAGGTCACTTTCAGAACCATGTTTCACTCCCCACAGCCCACGATGTACTTCTCCTTTCCCATGAAAATCAGTCTCACGTTTGCTGCATTGGTTTCATTCCTAGCGGTTTATCCCCTGGCTACCATATGCATGGTTTTTGAGATACCGTGGAGCCATGAATAATTATAAAAATGTTTGTCCACAGATGATTAAGGAGCTAGGAGTTGAGGGTAGATGTTCCTGGGAAAATATTAACAAGTTGCATCAGAGGTAAATAACTGTGTGAGGCGCTTGGGCCTGCCTCTGGGGTAGCTCTAAGTGAGAGACTTGCATTAGAAACACAGGGTTCATCAGGGAGGACCCTGGGCCTATTCACTGTAAAAATGGTGGTGTCTCTACCTGCAGCTTCTTCCTTTGCATCTCCATGAAAAAGAGCTTGTATGTGTTAGTGTTCTGTGTGGTTATTTATTAGAGTGAAGCATTTTTCTTTTAAATGGAAATTCCCTTTTCACGGTCGTTGCTATAATTATGATCAGTTCTTTTACTCTATATGTTTTGCATTAAAATGTGTTTCTGTTGTTAGTGTCAGTTTACAATTTTTAACTTTGGGGGATTAACAAACAGACGAATTTATTATGGAATGAATGATGGATTACTTATTTTTTTTAAATATATTTTTATTGATTTTTAGAGAGGAAAGGAGAGGGGTAGAGAGAAACATCAATGAGAGAGGAAATCATCAATTGGCTGCCTCCTGCACGGCCGTCACCAGGGATTGAGCCCACAACGAGGGCATGTGCCTTGACTGGGAATCGAACCGGCGACCTCTTGGTTCCTGGGTTGATGCTCAATTGCCAAGCCACACCAGCCAGGCTGTGTGTGTGTGTGTGTGTGTGTGTGTAAGTATATTTTTATTGATTTCAGAGAGGAAGAGAGAGATAGAAACATCAAAGATGAGAGAGTCATTGATCGGCTTCCTCCTGCATGTCCCTTACTGGGGATCAAGCCCCCAACCTGAGCATGTGCCCTTGACCGGAATCAAACCTGGGACCCTTCAGTCTGCAGGCCAACACTCTATCCACTGAGCCAAACCAGCTAGGGCTGGATGACTTATTTTGGAAGTTATCGAATCAATGGGATATTACTGAATCAGTCCCTTTGTCATTTTTTTTTGTTATACATAAATTTATGTTCTGGACCACTTATTACACATATTCATTCAAATATTACAAATAAGGACAGATGGCAGTTGCATTTTGAGGTCTTCTGCAGGAAATGAAACTTTCAGAGTGAGTCCAGCCCATACATCTCAACCATTATTATTTCGGGTCAAATTGATTCAAGAACAATGTCTCTACTTTCCTTGGGAACAAACTGTCTTTCTAGTTTTTTGCTTTATTATAAAAATGGTTCTCTCTGATTTTTATCATTTTGTGCTATTACCTTTAACACAGACCAATTTGGGAGATTGTTTTCAGGGAATGAGAGAGAAAAAAATATTCTTGGAACTGAAATCAAAACACATCTCCTCATTATGCCTGTGTCATTTGCTTAAGGCTTCATTTCTTTCCTCTTGGAGTTGTAATCTTGGATATCTGATCACTTATCTCTTGGTATTCACACAGCCCATGTGATTCATAAATTTGCATACTGCCCTTTTGGTATAAACTCCACAGTATGTTTTAGAGATACCCAAAGGGTGTGCAATATCTCTAAAAAGATATAACATTTAAAAATGATCACTATTGGATAAGGATATTTACAGGTTAACAAATATATAGGGAAATATTGAACCTCACTAAAAAGCAAGGGAATCGAGTTTGTGCTTCACGTAGTAGATTTTCCTCATTAGTAATTTTTTTTCTTTACTCATCACACAGATTGAAAAAGGCCTTCTCATTGCTGGTGAAGTCTAAGTGGGCATAACCTTTTAACCAACATGTATCAAGAGCCTGTAACATGTCCAAACCCTTTTACTCTATAATTTCATTTTTGAAAACCTATACCTAAATAGGAAACAAATTATTTTTTTAAATGCTGTACAAAAATGGGTGAATTATTTGTAATATAAAAAAGACTGATGAATCTCAGAGGGAAAGCAGGGGTGGGGGTGGGAAGAGAGATTAACCAAAGAAGTTAGTATGCATACTAGAGGCCTGGTACACGACATTCGTGCACTGGTGGGGGGGGGGGAGGTTCCCCTCAACCTGGCCTGCACCCTTTAGCAGTCCAGGAGCCCTGAGGGGGTGTCTGACTGATGGCTTAAGCCTCCTCCCCAAGGGGACAGGCC